AGTGTTGATTGAACCCCTATGAACGCGAGGGTCGCCCGCGTTTAGATTGTGGCTTGGCGACGCGAGGGTCGCCTTCATTTCCAAAGTGGTGACGCGGGGATGACATCCGCGTTTCAGAATGAGCTATTTGACTTGTAGCTTCTTCTGTGGTGCATTGCAAGGACCGTTGTTCAGTAATCCTGGCTTTAGCTATTGTGGAGTGTGAAAGTCGTCATATTGTAACTTTCACTGTAGATTGCGAAGACTGCTGAATAGAGTTTTCATCCGTCGTCGGAAGTGTCGTTGAATTGTAACTCTTCTCGATCTATGTGAAAAGCCCTCCATTCGCAACTTTCGTTCACCGACCCGAAAGCTATTTGATGGTAGCTTTCGTTGTAGGAGCTAGACGGGAATCAACATCCATAGTGTCTTAAAGATGAATATTCGCCCATAGCTCTCTACCAAGCAACTATTCGACTATATGTTTCGATCATCGACCCGAAAGCTATTTGATTGTAGCTTTCGTTGTAGGAGCTAGACGGGAATCAACATCCATAGTGTCTTAAAGATGAATATTCGCCCATAGCTCTCTACCAAGCAACTCACCAACTGAGTCCAACTTTTTATTTCTGAAATCGTCCCACTGCTCATCAGCATCTCTAATAGTTGCTATGATATTAGCCATTCTGTTGTCACAGCCATCAAGATCAATCATCTCAGAAGTGAGGTTGCGTTTGTGGCGATTGTGGAATTGCGGATGCAGTGATTGGGAAGTCGTCTGATTGTGACCTCCGTTGTCGGAGCTTGTTTGGATAAGCTATCTATTGTGATTTTTAGACAGCCTACAATGTGCCCATCGTAAAAATTTAAAATTATTAATTGATTATCCTATTGTTAAGGAGTGGTGTCCACAAATTATTAAGAATTATTTTAATATTAGTCCCCCAAATCTATAATATTTAAAAAGTAGCCCACCAAATTATATAAATTGCATGCTAACACATCTAGGGATGTAATTGAACCAAATAATTAACAAATAGTTCGATAATTGTTCAAATAACTTTTCAGTCATATTCGATTCGGTAGTTTATTTAACACATTCAAGTTTGCTAACGATTAGAATTTGACCAGTTGTACGTACATTCGATTCGTTTATTTATTAAATATTCATTTAAAATTGATCAAATGTTATTATTTGTATTATTGCATGTATGATGTCATATTTGTGTGTTTTTAGCTTCATCTTTGATTAGTTTAGAGAAAATGATGAGAAAAGTGAAAATAATGAGAAAATGATGAGAGACCAATGATGAGATCATTTTTAGTTATACTCATTACGAACATGTAACCATATTGATTTTTCTAATGATACACCAGAACTTATCATAGCTCTTATCAATTAATTAGGAGTTCTATGTTATTTTTAAAATTTATTTTTAATTATAGCTCTTATCAATTAATTAGGAGTTCTATGTTATTTTTAAAATTTATTTTTAATTGTTTATTTTTAAAATTTATTTTTTAGTATTTGTTATTTTTAAAATTTATTTTTAATTGTTTATTTTTAAAATTTATTTTTTAGTATTCGAGTTTGCTAATGATTAGAATTTGATTAGATGTATATTCAATTTATTTGTTTATTAAATATTCATTTAAAATTGATCACAAGTTATTGTTTGTATTTTTCATATATAATGTCGTATTTTTAACCACTTACCATTTCTACTTAACTTTTATATACCAATTTTAAGACTCAAATAATCTTAAATCTATTTTCTAATAAAATTTTGATTTAAATATATACACATCATATATAGTAAAAAAGAATAATTTTTATTTATTAATTTTATTACATAGTGAATGAATATTATTTGAGCATGCGAGATGTATTGTGATTATATGATGAGTATTGTTCGATATTGTGGATTGACGGATGAAATTAGATGAGTATTCATTTGGAATGTGAATGTATATCATAGTTTATTTTATGATATATTGTTAAATATTATCATTGGATTGATGTCGATAGAGGCTATATGTGTATTCTCATATGGGAGGCTACCAGAAAATTAAAAAAAAACTTTTTACATAAATATATACATTGGCGACGGATTTCCCGTCACCAATGCACATTGGTGACGGGGTGATCCGTTGCTAATGTTTAAAACATTGGCGACTGGTAAATCCCCGTCGCTAATGTTTTAAACATTGGTGACAGATTTACCTGTTGCCAATGTGCATTGGCGACGGGGAAATCTGTCGCTAATGTTTGAGCATTGGCGGCCCGTCGCCAATGAACATTGGGGACGGGAACCACCCTTTGCCAAAGAAATCCGTCGCCAATAGTCGTCCGTCGCAAATAAGTATTGGTGACGGGGAAACCCGTCGCCAATACTTATTGGCGACGGATTTATTGGCTACGGATTCATTTCTATCACCAATATGTATTGGTGATGGATTTTGGGGTATTGGTGACGGATTTTGGGGTATTAGTGACAGATTTCTCCGTCACCAATGCCATGTTTTCTACTAGTGAATATTCTTATCATATACTAACCTTTGTTGTCCTTAATCACTCTGGAGGAATTTTTTTACCGTAATCCAAAAATCTATAACCAAAGAACAATTTGTGTACTAAAATATGAAAAGAATTACAAGTGGGACCAAAATTGATGTAGACAGAAAAAGGTCAGAAACAAAAAAAAATAAAAGAAATAAGAATACAACGATAACTAGAAAATTATTATAATATGTCTGATGGGTCTTGAGCGAAAAAAGGATCACAAGTATATAACTATGGCCAAAGACCTTAAAGCAAACTTAGATGTATCATGAACAGATTCACTATAACAATAAGCCATGGGATTAAAAAAAAGGAAACCAGCTAGCAAGCAAGAAGCAGTACTATTAATATATGTATACTACATATAAAACAAGATTGGATTGTCAAAACTTTTGATTTTTATTTTTCCCCTTTTAAGCTTGATAATTCTCAAATATTTCATTAGTTGTAATTAATCTTTCATTAATTATATGTAACCTCTTATTAATTATGTATTTCCTTTTTTTTCAAAACCTTGGTCACACTATTATTTTATTATTTAATTATGTTATTTAATATAAAATTTGTAATTTATACCTAATTTATCTTCACATAGTATTTAAAAAAAATTCTAGAAAAATTAAAAATAATAAAAATTTATTATGCTTACATCTTATGTCTCTGGGTTTCACCTCTTATGGAGGACTACCAATTACCATTCATCTTATTAGCCTTCTAAAAGTATGATAACAATATGAAATATAAATTTTATTTATTGTAATTTTATTTTTTATGAAAAGTATGATTATAATATTATAATAATTTTTTTATGAAGGACTACTCATTACCTTTCATCTTATTAGACTTCTAAAAGAATGATAATAATATGAAAAATAATTTTTATTTATTGTAATAATAATTGTGTTAATATCATTTTAATAATATTGTTTAAATTAATAAATTACACTCAAATTTAATAATTATTTAATTTAGTAAATTATTTACTAATAGTGTAATAAACTAATTATGAAATTAAAATGTGCTTACTAATAGTATTATAATTATGATGTGTATAATATTATTATATTTAAAAGAGAAAAAAGTATTTAATATATTATAATTATTTTAATAAATTATAAATAAATTATAACAAATTATCAAGACTATAATAATTAATCATACAGTTCTTTATACATAATTTTATCGTACAATTTATTCTTTTAAACAAAATTGTAATTATTCAGAATTTATATTACTATACAAATCATTTCGTTATTCTACCACCAACAAAAAAATTAAAAAATATAAAACAAAATATGTATGCTCTTCTCCAAAGCATGTGCACTGTACTAGTAATATTAAAAGAGATTTAATAACAGCTAAGAACAAAAGGCTCACAAATAGATATTATAATAGAATTAAAGCAAGATTTCACAACACATATCATGTCATGTCATACTTCAAGACGTCTAAGTACTCTAGATAGCCAAAGAATATTATAAAAAAAAGATGCAATCATAACCTAAAAACAATTAAAAAATATGAAACCTTCTCTTAGAGGTGAATATGTAGTCAAATAAACAAATAATGATTAAAATACTATAAAATGAAATCCAACATCATTTATCACATGAATAAAATAAAAAATTTGATTTCACAATACACAGCTCCAGGTTATCTCAGCATTGCAGGTCCACATAAAGAAATTATTCTAATAGGTGAAAGCACTATTGCAAGAACTTATGTAGATATTATAAAATTACTATAAAGACAATCTTATCTATATTAGTCCTAACGGAGAAAAAAATAACGGGTCGGCTGAGAGATTTGAGGACGAAGGAAAAATGACGAGGACAAGTTTGTAAAGCGTGTCGCCCATTAATTGAGGCCAACAAAACTTTGATATTTATGAAGAAATTTGAAGAGGGAGAATAAGATGGGAGATATTAATTTAGGGTTCCCATTTTGTAGTAAAAATTTCCATTGGTCTCTAACCATCAATTTGAAGGGCTCACTTCGCAACCGCCCTCCCTTCAGATCCGCCCTCAATATCAACGGAATTTACAGTTGAGAATCTCAAATATTTTCTTATCTATTATAATCCTCTCCTGATTTTATGAGATAGCGAGTTAGGCCAATGCCAACAAACTTCGGCAGTTTTTAAGGGAAACTTAAATTGTCATTAGATTTAATATTACACTTATTTTATATATATTTTTCCTACACACTTCAATAAAACAAACACCCACCCAGACTGTTGCAGGTGAATTACTTTTCCACTTATGCAGACAGACACCCCCTTAAAATAATAAAAGGTGCATGCAAAATTGAAACGATCGACATCATTAAACTGGATACAACCAAACACTTAACTCTTGTCCTTTGTCCAACGAATATTGACGTCAAGAAGGAACACAGCAGGAAACAAGAGAACACGAAATTTATAGGAACACTTCCACTCGCATACCGGCGAACTATTTTAAACCGAAAGTCCCGTACCCGCAAACTTGCTCGTCATGATCTCGTCCAGCCGTCGACCCATCTCTAGCGAAAGAAGACTCCTCCAGCCCCCAACACCTCCCCGCCTGAAATAAAACTTATTTTCGAAATCCTCAAACATAGTCTCAAGCACCCCCTCTCTGTTCACCTCCAAATTGCTCAAGCTCTCGAACCCACAAAGCTTTACTATGCCCTCCGCCACCCCACCCCTCTCCTCCTCCTCCTCCGTAAACGGACACCCCATAAAACCCGCAACCCGTTTCAACTCACCTATCGGATCTGCAATCATATCCTCATACTTCACGAATAACAAGCTTCAAGGTATTGAAGTTAAAAAAAAAGAGTGAAATGCATTTGTTATTCCAACTACTTGTGACCGAGCGCACCTAAGTTTGATTCGATCTCGATGAAGGGGACGATATCGTGGGGGTTGGACACCCGAAGGGGGTGGCGAAGGTCGGAGAGGTCGGGGAGGGGGGTCTGGTACAGAGATGAGAATGCCAGGGCCTTCAGCCACGTCGTGCCGGATTTGGGGGGGGAGGCGAGGAGGATGTCGGTGGGCCGGGCCTGGAAGTGGTGACGGGTCGAGAGGACACGGAGGAGGGAGTCCTTGAAGAGGTAGTGGGCTTTGTAGAGGACAACTGGGAAGGCTGAGCAGTCTGTTATTGTTGGGAGGTTTGAGAGTTGATCGTCCTCTTGAGTTTGCTCCATTGAATACTCGATTGGTTGTGTAAAGAGATGAGGAAGAGCAAAATGAGGCTTAATAATATTATTATCCCGTAACGTGCTACAATGGGAGACTTTTTTTTAAGAAAAATTTCCCTAAGCACCCAAAATATAGGACCAACAGGAGGGACATGTGAGGTGTCCCCTCCTATTGTATAATGAGCTGGTCATTATTAATGATGAGGATTGGGATCCTCTCCTAATAAATAGTGTTACTAATATCTCCTAATAAGAAGATATTAGTCTTTGACTTATCAATCAAAGGTCAAGATCTCCTCATGAGCAAAAGTAAGGGGCCCCTACTTTTGCTCATGAGGAGATCTTGGTCTTTGATTGATAAATTAAAAGTCAAGATTCCATTAGGAGATATTAAGAACCTCCTTATTAGGAGAGGATCCCAATCCTAATGATGGTTAGCTTATTATGCAATAGGAGTGGGTCATCTCACATGTCCCCCTATTGGTCCCATATTTTGGGTCCCTGTAGCAAAGCTTATTTTTTTTACTGTGTTACTTTTGCTAAATATCTAGCAAAACCAACCTCTTTTTGGCTAGCTTATCAAAGCTGGCGAAAAGATATCGGTTTTGTTGAATTTGTGTTTTGAAACACGCTGCACTAGTCCCGTCTGTTTAATGGTCATTAATCGGCCACTAAACAAGACTCAGAAAACCCACGGAGCTGCTAGTCTCGTGGGTTTTCTGAATAGTTATCAGAAAACGCACGGGACTACTATAGTCTCGTACGTTAGAGTGAGACTTCGTGTCTCGCAACCAGCAACTCCACGGGGCTAGTAGTCCCATGGATTTGTTGGGCACACCAAAACGTGCACAAAGCATGTGTAGATCGTACTAATTGAATATATACCTCATATATATTGCTAAATATGCTCAAAAAATATAAAATCTGTCTCATATACATTACTAAACAATATAATCGTTATATAAGTTATAAACCTTAGTGGCATACTCTGCATGATTAATTCTAGTAACTCTGCATATTTGCTCCATCATTACATTTAAGTTACAATTTCTAAATAACATGAATATTTTACTAGATCCACCCTCATATATAAGCATATTATTCACTCCAACACTCAGTTTCCCATTGAATAAGTGTTTGCGTCGAGAGTTGTTTTTTTCATTGCGGAACTCATTACAACTTCAGTCGTTTACAATAAGTTCGAAAAAGTAAAATTAGTCTTTTTATAAGACTTTCTTACACAATAAGAATAAAATAGTCTATTCAAACACATGCAGAGGGCATTTATCATCCGTTGCTTACATGGGATCTTTGGCTGTGTCGGGGTTTATCCGTGGACCACTGTGGATCAGATCTGGTTGATCGGAATAAAAGATCAATGCTCTTGCTTCACATAAGAAATAATTACAGAAGTAAATAATCTCAACAAAGTGAGATTACTATTCTTCTCGAGATCAAAACAAAGTCTGGTCTTAAGGAATGATGAAACGGGCCTCAGATCCTTCGAATAGCTCCCTCTTTATGCTGGAGTTCGCTAAGATCTACTAGCCCTCCTCTGAAATTCGTGGTTCACTCTCCAAGTAGACAGTACCTCGCCTCTAATTTTAGATCCCCCATGTATAGGGATCCTAGTCTTGTATTTATAGGCTTCGGATGTAGCATTTTAGGACAGGAATTGATGATTTGACCTTATTCTCAGTTAATAACCACTTAACCATGTTTAGAGATAGCTTTAAAGCAGTTAGGGAGGCTCTAGAATGATCAAAACCAATCAAAAACTATCAAAAACGCGTCCCAGGTGAGAGACAGTTTGGGGTGTCTCGCACATGTGCGAGACAGTTTATACTGCCTTCAGTATGTTAGCTCTAATTCTTTCATCCGACCTAGGAATGAGGTGATTCAAGTTTCATTGGAAAACTAACGAAAATACCTACAACTTTTATCTTTTGAGTTTTTTTGGATTCAATTTGCATCATGGAGAAACAATCATGTATTGTGCGAGACAGTTCGGGGTGTCTTGTACATGTGCGAGACAGTTTGTACTACCTTTGGTATTTTATCTCTAATTATTTAATCCGGCCTTAGAATAATGTGATTTAAGTTGAGTTGGAAATCTTGTGAAAATACCTACAAATTTTATCTTTTGAGCTTCTTCAGAATCAAATCGCATCATGGTCGAAATGTGCGAGACACCATTAGTACCTCGCATGTGTGAAACAGTCTGGACTGTCTCGGGTATTTTATCTCTAACTCTCTCATCCGATCTCAGAATGAGGTGATTCAAGATGCGTTGGAAAGATGGCAAAGATACCTAAAAATTCCCATGGGTGAGACATACATGGCATGGGTGATACATAGCTCTTGGCTGAGTTATTTCTTCATTATTTTGTCATTTCGCGTGTTACGTTGACTCGTACGCTTCTATAGGCGTCAAAAATTACCTATGGGTTCTCACACATAGCTCAAGATAGAGAGAAGATAATAAACATTATTATTCATGTCAAGGAGGATTATCTGACATCAATAAGTGTATGAAGTGAGTTGACAAAGCGTATGAACCAACGAGACGACAGAATAACGAAGAAACGATCCGATCGGGAGTTACATTTTATTCACGAAAGACGAAGCGCCACTCATGTCTCTGTTGGACCCTAGAGGGAGGGTGATTAGGGTCACAAGGCTAAAAATAGTGTAATAAAAATTAAGACAAGTAACAAACCACAAAAGAACAACAGTAGAAAAAGAGATAGTAAGGAATCGTTATCCTTGTGACGCGCGATGTGTTAACGAGGTTCGGTCCGCTAACCTACGTCCCCGCTCCTCACTCTCGAGGAGAAATCCACTACACAATGATCTCCTCACGATCTCACAACTACACAGTTGATCTCCTCTGGATCACACTCCCACACAATTGATCTTC